TCCCACCACTTGTGGAAAATGGGTAATCTTTTTGGTATAACCCTAAAAGTGGATAGGAACTCGATTAGAAGATTGGAAGAAGGAGATGGGGAAATCACTTCAAAAAGCCATGTATACTCAAATCTGTATGGAAGTGAACTTGAGGAAGACCTTCATTTCCCAGTTCAAGATTAGAGGTAAAGTTCTTTAGGTGGGTTATGAGGGACTGGACCTTATATGCTTTGATTGTGGCAAATATGGCCACAGGAAAGGCCATTGAAGTGCCCAGGGAGCTATAGCAGGTGATGCGGTTGATGCTAGAGGTACACAAGGGGATAAGAGTGAGGGTGTACAAGTTCCTCCAAACCAAGTTGAAGCTAAAGAAAAGGAGGCTTTCAGAGAATGAATGGTTGTGCAGTGTTAAAGTGGAGGTCGCCAGACTAATGTGGTTTTGGCGGGTAAAACTCAGGAAGAAGACCAGACATAAGGCAGGATGAAGGGCAACGCTTCCCTAGAAAAAAGAAAGTCAATTCTGCAAGAGGGGGCAACATCATGTCTGTACAGGTTAAGGCTGGTGAAGTAGGTATAGTCAAAGGAAATTATCGATAAAAAGATCCCTACTACTTCGAGGAGAACATCAGAAGGTAGAGTTCTTTTACTTAAAGACCAAAAAGGAAAGTCGAATTGGGGAGATACTTGGGAGAATGTTAAAGTGCAGAAAAGCGGAGTGGTCCACAAAAAAGATGCAGCTGGCCTTGTGGGGTCCAATGCCATGCAGAGGAACTTTTCTTTCACCCAAAAAGAGCCTAATCATAGTGTGAAAGTTAGCCCCGCTCACAAAGTTCCCATGCAAGGAAACCCTAGCCATGTAGTTCCTGTCGAGATACCCTCGAAAGAACCAGAGACCGACGGGAAGTCTGTCATAGAAGTAGACAATAAACACAATAGAAGAAAGGATATCATTGCTTTAAATCTCATGAAAATGGTCTCTTATGGACAAGAGGAAAAGATTTTGGAACATAATATATCTTCTTTAGGAGGTTAAGAGTCTATTGTGGATCCCAATGTCCCTCTTGTATCCTTCATTTCCTTCTTTTTTGTGTTATTTTTATGAATTGTTGTTCATAGAATGGTATAAGGGTAGGGAAAAAGGGTTCCTCCCTCTCATTAGAGAGCTTAAATTTAGATATAATATTAAGGTTCTTGCTCTTTTGGAGACGAGGTGTAGTGGCTTGAGTGTAGTTAAAAAAAAATAAAAAAAATGGGTTTCACTAGTTTTTTTATTCAGGAAGCTTATGATTTTTCCGACGGTATTTGTTTACTCTGGGATGATTTGGAGGTATCAATTCAAGTTATCAAGAGCCCCTATCAGTTCATCCAAGCCAAAATCCTTTACAAATCCTTGAAAAGGTACGAATGAGCTTCCTTTATCTATGCTAGCCCTAGACATTCCAACATAAGGGAGTTATGGAAGGAGCTTGAGGAGATCAACCTAATTATTTCTGAACCTTGGGTTATCTTGGGAAATCTAAATTCTATATTGGCTCCCTCAAAGATGATTGGAAGAGGAGCCTACTATGAGGGTAGCTCAAGAAAGCTAAATAATTGTCTGACTGTTTGCAATCTCTACAATCTGGGTTTCAAAGGCCCATCTTTCATTTGGAAGAGAGGCAGACTTCAGGAGAGGCTGGATAGGATGTGTGCTAATAAAGATTGGAACATTTCTTAGCCCAACAAATTTGAAACTCACCTCCTGTTTTATTGCTCTGATCACTGTCCCATTCTCCTTCTCGATGGTCAACCCAAAACTGCCACGCAAGTGATAAACCTTTCCGTTTTCTTGCTGCATGGTTAATCGCTGATGATTTTGGGGGAGTTGTTACGGGCTGTTGGAAGCATAGAGACAATTAAATAACAACCAAAAATAATTTCCAGAAAGGTCTTAGATTGGCACGAAAATAATTTCAAAGCTCTCTAAAAGCAAAAAGCTAGACTCCACTTAAGGTTGAAAGGGATTGGTGCTAAGTTGTCCATTCATCCGAATAGATACCTAGAGGATCTCCAATTCTCCTTGTGGAAAGAGTTAGATTCGATTCTAATTAGAGAGAAAGTTACCTAGTACCAAAGGTCTCGTTATGACTATACCTAGTACCAAAGGTCTCATTATGACTAGAAGTTTGGGGATAAAAACTCTAAATGTTTCCACTCACTCATAACTGCTAGGAGAAGAAAGAACAGAATAGACACTCTGAAAAATGATCATGGCATTTGGGTGGCTGACACAGAAGACCTTATTAACCTAGCTATTAATTTTTTTGTAGACCTGTTCAAGGCGGACGAAGAAGCTTTACTCACCTTTCCTTTAGCTGGAGCGTTCCTTCCTCTGGAAGACTATGATGCTAATTCCTTATGGGCTATTCTTAGTAGATGGAGAAATTAAAAACACCCTTACGAATATGGGGAAGCTTAAAGCCTCTGGTCTGAATGGGCTTCAAGCCATCTTCTTTCAAACTCAGTGGAATATGATAAAAGACTCTTTATGTAATTTAATCTCTGAGATTTTCCAGGATCCCAGGAAGGTTAAGAACATAAACTTGACCTTCCTTTGCTTAGTTCTTAAAGCTGACAATCCTAAATCCATGAGGGATTTTCATTTTATTAGTTTATGTAATGTATCCTACAAGATCATTACTAAACTGATAGCAGGCCATTTAAAAAATGTCATACGCTATTTAATATTCCCCAACCAATGTAGCTTCATCCCTGGTAGGCACAGTTCCGATAACGTGGTAATTTCTCAAGAAATTATTCAGTCTATGCAGAGGAAGAAAGGTGATACTGGATGGATGACTATCAAGCTTGATCTTGAGAAAGCCTACAATAGATTAAACTGAAACTTTGCTCATGATACCCTCATCGAAGTATGTATGCCTTTGAACTAGATCCAGTTAATTGACAGTTGTCTATCTAGCTCTTCGATGAACATCCTTTGAAATGAGAAGAAAATTAGAGATTTCTCATTTTCAAGGGGGATTAAACAAGGGGATCCTTTATCACCCTCACTTTTTGTGTTATGTGTGGAGAAGTTGGCTCACCTCATTCAAATGGCTTATAATGTCAAAGCTTGGAAACCAATTGTGATTAGGAGGAATGGTCCCCATATCTCCCATTTTTTTTTTTGGAGATGACATCCTCGTCTTTGCAGAAGCCTCTATAGATCAAGCTTATGTTATCAACCAATTCCTCAGAGTCTTCAGTCAATCCTCTGGGTAAAAGGTGAGACAGGTGAAGTATAAGGTATTCTTTTCTAAGAATGTGAACTTCCAAATGGGCCACTGAGTTGAGTAACTTTCATGGAATTCCCCTCCACCACCGGAAAGTCCAACGTAGATCTTTTGCTGACATGACCAACAAGGCTTAAGGAAAACTTAATGCTTGGAGTCAGACTTCTTTTTCTTTGTCAGATAAAGTAATTATAGTTAAAGCTATCCTTTCGGCCCTTCCTACGTACTCCATGCAGACCTCTTGGCTCCTATTATCCATATGTGATGACTTAGACAGAACCACACACAATTTCATCTGGGGCTCTACTTCTACACACCGTAAGGTTCACTTGGTTAACTGAGATTAGTGTGCACCCCTCTTGATAGAGGGGGTCTAGGCATCAAAAAAATGAGAAGCTTCAATAATGCCGAAGCTTGGTCATGACATCTTGACTAAAAAAATGATTTAGGGTGAAGGTATTGAGGAACAAATACAACATTGGTCTCATGAGTTTATTATTGAGCGAATTCTTAACTCTTTTAGCCCAAGTTGAACCATGTCAAAGTTTAATTCAACACCTATATCACATGATGAAAACTCAAGAATGCTATTCTCGTTTCGCCACTTCCTTTTTCTCATACTCTTGCTCACTTCGCACAACAATATTACTACTTCACAAATAAAAACCTCTTCTTCTTTTTTAAGAGAAAAAAAGATATATACGAGATGTATAACAACTTCCTTAAGTTAATAACTAACATTAACAATTATGAATACAATATGTAAATTTTTAATATATTCTTTTATCATTTTCAAACGTTGAGGATAACTTGATTTCTCTGTATTAGGTTATGTCAACACCGGACAAAAGATCTTCTAACGTTAATAAGAGACCGACATGAAAAATAACAACTTGTATTTTACTCAAAATAGGAGATTGAGAATAAAATCATTTTGCTTTAAAAATAAAGAAAAATGGTTAGCTTATAAGTTGTTTTTGATATATAAATATTTACTCATAAATTAAAATTTAAATGGACTTGAGTTTGATGCTCACGAGGTAAATCACTACTTGAATTTTGTTGAATTTATTTTAAATTTAAGTTAACATATATTTAAGATTTTTAAATTTTTTTATACAAAGTAGTTGTATATTTTTATGTAAAATTAAATTATAATACCTTGTATTTTATTTTTAACGGTTTTATAGAATTTTCAATTTTGTTATAATTTAAATTCTTAAAATTTTTCCTGAATGAATTAATTTCTAAACATTTCACTTATAATTAATAATTTTAATTTTATTGAAAATTAAAATACGTGAAAAATTTACAAGATTAGATAATTGTTACTTTTTATGTAGTCAATTTACAAAAAAGATGGTTATGATATCAAAGGAATCAATAATATATAGAAACAAAAATATTATATAGCATGATATAGTAAATGATGATATCTAAAATATTGTACATTAAATTAGATTCATCTCATTAATTGAGTATATTTAAGTGAAAGTATAGGCTGGAACAAGAAATCAGAGCTAACTAAAAAAAAACTAAAATTATTTTCCTAAAAAAAAAAAACAGAACTTTGTTACCCAATTTTGTATTCCACCACTTAGAATTAAGATTGTTCAGTTCTCCTTTTGATCTATTACGTTAGTACTTGTTCAAAGAACGATAGATACGTTATCCAAAAAAGAGAAAGAACGATAGATATACATCTTTTTTACTATTCCCGTTTATTGATAACAAAGCATAAAGTCATAAATCATAATAGTCTGATTAAACATATTCTTATAGTAATGGTTACAACATATTCTTATAATAACTTGGGACAATACATCATCCCACCATAATTAAAAAAAAATTATGTACTGGCTCGGTACCTGGAACAATGACATAATGAAAAATACATGTAATAAGAGTTTTATAATAAATTTAATAATCTCAACAAGCTGTAATGAATTCCAACATACATTGATCCTTCAACGTGTATAAAAATTTGAGACTACGAAATCATCATTTGGACAGTACTTCTGTACATCACATAAGTACGTTAACATTAGTAAGCACTAATAATCCAGATATACATAAACTAAATTTTAACTTTTTGAACATCATTCTTACCTCAATATACCTTGTTTCACGCTGTGAAAACTTTCCCGATTATAAGGCTTGAACTCAACCAAAACAAAGTCTCTCCTGAGGATCTTTGGATCCCATTGTTGTCGACAATATCAATATTGATACCGTTAATGATAAGAAACTTACATTTCAACGTACGATTCTGTTTTTATGAACTATTAAAAGTTAGGTTCATACATCTAAATTCTGGTTCTGTTTGTGTTTTAAATTAAAATAAAATAATAGTATCTTCTAGGCTTAATGGACACTTACAAATGAGTTGTACATACACAAACAAAAACACAAATCCCAAAATAGCTTAACCCTAGGTACAGACAAGAACACATGTACACCCCACACGAAAATACGACTTCGCTACAGGATCCCTTCAATGATCTTATTCCCTTCCTTCATAAATTCTAAATGCATCTAGTTGTGCACTCAATATTTACCCACTTTCAAACAAAATCTCCATTATACAGTAGCATTTACATTCACATGTACAATCCCCCTTACTAAAAATTCAAAAAATTCAAATCTCAAAATTTAGCAAATGAGTATCAACTAACACGAAAGGGTTTTTAAGTTCCACAAATTTACCTGATGTTATCTCAAATTGTTTTTTTTTTTCTTTTTTGTTTGTATGTGTGGCTAATTTATAGAGAGTTAAGACCAACTATAGTATAAAAAAAAGCGATACTAAATTAAACAACGTAATGTCATCATATAATTGTATTGTAAAATGATACTAACCACCTCCTTGCTAAGACCAAGATTCTTATGGCAAAGATGAACAGTTAATGGATTTAACAACAAAAATTGTTCGTAGAAAATTAGCTTAAAATGACCTATACATTCTACAAGCACAAACATTGAATCGAACTCTCCTGTTGAGAACAAATGTTAATTGCTTTTATATAAACTCATTATGCCACAAACCATCCTCCTTTATCCTGGCTTGGGACAGGCTATGTAGTCATACAAATAAATTATCAATACTCCAATAAAACATACTACACCTACTTAAATTAGAGAGAGTGAATTCTCCCGTATTCCTAATTCAAGTGGATGTAATATGATATCAAAGGATCACTGAAATCTATAGATGATCATACATAGGCGGAGTTAAAAAAATTAAGAATAAAAAACCCAATACACTATACATGAACACATAGGACTATTTGCAAAAGAGCGATAATGAGTGGTAAACATTTTTTAAGTCATCTGTAAGATACACAATACAATACAGGATACAAAACCCAAACATCGAATACTACATGAAACAAAGAACTAGATTTTTAACCCCAACAACGTGCTTATGTGAAGGCTTTTTTAAAAAAAACTTATATTTCACACCTATAAAGGAGAACAGAGCCATACTAATCCTTCAAAACTCCATAAAATATGCCCACAAAAAAATAAAAATAAACCAATCTGAAACACAAATCACAGCTTAAGAAAACATCCAAAACATCGGGTACAATTGATCAAACATCCACAATAGAATACTACATCATCAAGTAACCATCAATTCCCAAAAAATAAAAAAGTAAACTCAATATAAATTACAAACAAAAGAATAACAAATAAGAAACATCCTCAGAGAAGGCTTGCATCCAAGATAAGACACATTTACCAAAATAAGCATATGCTGCACGCTTCACTTGATAAAAAATTCTCAAAGTTCGGATTAAAAACCTGCACAAAGATGAGCATCAATTCTTATATGAATTGTAAAATCACCAGAAGCAACTTCTATCTAAAGTTCTTAACACACTCGAGTGTACCTTACCCCGTAAAATGCCAATCAATGGGCAACCAATGTAGCTGATCTCCCGGAAATATTACAATCCATTAATCTCTTATTGCTCTATGTAACAGATACCGATAAAAAGCTTCTATTACTGCACATACCAAACTGGCAAGACATAACATTTTGGCTATGAAAATGACAGAGTAGCTAGAAAGGATGGCAAATCATCGAAAACTGCACACTAAAGATGAGTCTTCAACACGGAGCTCTTCACATATTGTATACTGAAGAGAACAATACGCATTACTGCTCTAATCCTGAACACAAAAAACCCGTGCAAGAAAGACAACAATCGAGATACACATACCACTAATATCACATTAAATAGTTAGAAACACTAAGCTGTACAAAACCAAGTTCACAATTCAATTAATATTCATGGCTACCAATTCCAGAAAACAAAAACAATACAAAACAAACTCATCTAAAAGTAAAATCAAATAATGCAGAGCTCTTTGCCGCTTTCATCTGATAAAAACCTCTGCACATATAATAGAAGAACATTCTTAAAACCCAGTCTTCATTTTGGCTATGCCTAAGAACATAAATACATTTCCAGACCACAAAATACTGCAAACTAATAAACCCAAGAAGTTCAACACCTAGATCAACAGAAAATTCGTTAAAGTCCTTTCATCAATTTGAATAGTTAAGAATTGGAATTAACAAACGCCAATACTTAGTTTTAAAAGGATATAGAGGACCATATAAATAAACCATAATCAATGTAAGAAATTATTAAAAAAATTACATATAAAAGAACAGTTTGATGATAAAAAATAATATCTTAAAAGTTTCATTAAAAAACAATACTGACTATAATATGATACAACCATGCGGAAGATGCTGCTTCATCCCTGTTTAGACCAAATTTCCATCTGCCTGCAGACTCAGGTGCTCAATATAAAATCGAAGCAAACAATTTAAGCTTATTACCACCGTGCAGCTGTGAAGAAGAGGATATCTCCAATTAGATGAGGAAATGCTTGAAAAACATAAGAAATTTTCAAGAAAACAGCAAAAAAAGAGCAGCAGAATTCTCCAAACCATGACACAACACAGATCATCTGAGGTAAGGGCCTTAACCAAACTATCCCAAATTCCTCCCGAAAAGGAAGGAAATGAAACGTGTAAACTCCAGCGCTTTAAAAATCATAGTCCTGATACAGAAACATACAAGAATTCCAACACCACCAAGTTAGCGTTCACCGTCAAAATAACGGAATCCAGAACGACCTCATTCAAATAAAAAAAGAAACTGATATTAATGGTAATAAAACCTAAAGCCGAACAGAAAGCCCGTCAATACTCTCAGCCACTGCTTCGAAAGCCTAGAACACATAGATGATTAGCTTCCCTATAACAACCAAGCAGGATAGAAAAGTAAATTGAGAAAAGTAAACAATCAGAAGGGATAAAGATTGATAGAAACGGAAAGACAAATCAAAGAATTAAGAATCCAGGTAGATCACCAAATTATGCATGACAGACGATTACATTCGAAGCACTACGCTGCAGGAAAACAGATTCAGAATTTAAACCATATGCCTCCTGATTAAAGCCATAAAATTAAAAAAATACAGATCAACTCATTGAAGGAAAACTAAATAATCATGAGCTGTTAGCAGTTCTGATTTGATGTATCAAGAAAGGAAGAAATTTCTTCATTATCCAATCTTTTAATTGGCAACGCCTAAGAACACAAAACTCATATCCGGATGAACACAAGCAGTTCACAACCTACAACACCATATGACCAAATGAAGAATGATATTACAATAATTGACAAAACAAGAGGAGTCCGAGAAGTATCAATTTCTTGAGATCTTCAATCCGACAAAAGGATAACAATCGGCAAAATATTTACTGTCATGATTATCTTCCCTATAACACCCAAGAATAAATCATGTAGATGTGGTAAATCAAAACAACCAACCGCTCAGAACCGACCAAAAAAAAAAAATGGAAACAAAATGACAAATCCAAGAATTTAAAATCTAGGTAGAGATCACCGAATTATGAACGCAGGGTCCATGCATTCAAAGCAATGTGCTGCAGAAAAACCGGTTCACAAATTAATCCGTATGTCTCATTCAAAGCCAGAAAATAAAGAGAGAATAACTAATCGAAGGTACTAAATTAGTAATCCTGAGTTGTTGGCGTTCTGGTCCGCTGTATCAAGAATGGTAGAAATTTCTTCATGATCAAATCTTTAATTGGCAACGCTTGCAAACAGAAAACTTCCATACTCCAATGTGATGCAAACGAATGAAAGCAAGCAGTTCAAATCCTATTACTTCAAATTGACAAAAAGAGAGACCGGAACTGTCAGTTCTTGAGATCTTCAATCCAGCTAAAGCGTATTACTAGCTAAGAACAAGAACAAAGAGCTAAGGGCCTAACCAAACTGTCCCAAGAAGGCAAAGAAATATACAGCTTTTCGGAAAATGTGTAATCTCTTGCGCCCTAAACACAAAGAATCCGACGCTGCCAAGTTATCGTACACTGCCAAAACAATCAAAATCCAGAACCCAGCCAGAAGACAACCCAAATCCACAACAAAAACATCAAAAATAAAATAAAAAACAGAAAATTAAAATGACAGTTCTAACAGTAATAACACCTAAAGACGAACGTCAAGTCCATCAATGCTCTCTCAACCACCTCTTCCACAGCCCATCACACATTCAACCGAGAAAACATAAACCGAGAAAACGCTCAGAATCCACAAAGCAAGAAAGAAAAGACAAATCCATGAATTTCAGAACCCAGATAGAGATCACCAAATTGCGGTGGAGACTCGATGCTTTCGACTGCAGGAAAGCAGGTTCACAATTTAATTTGAATACTGCGATTCCATCAATGCTAACGGTAATAACACCTAAAGACGAACGGCAAGTCCATCAATGCTCTCTCAACCACCTCTAGCCCATCATACATTCATTGATTGTCTTCCCTATAAGATGCAAGCGGAAATCATCGAAAAGTAAACAGAAAAAAACGCTCAGAATCCACAAAGAAAGAAAAGACAAATCCATGAATTCAGAATCCAGGTAGTGATCACCAAATTGTGCTTGAGACTCAATGTCTTAAATTTCATTCCCCACGCTACAAAAACCTTCATAAGCATGAACAAAGTAACATTAGTTAAGATCCAACCATCAATTTCAACCACTAAAGAACATAACAGAATTAATAAAGGTTAATACTTGGATATAATTTTTTTTATCATACAAGCAAATCTTATCAAGGTTATAAATTACTAAAATTTTAAATAAAAAACAGTTCGATGATAAAGAAAAATAATACCAAAAAATATCAGGTAAAAAAAATACTGACTCTATATCACTGAAAATAAGTAATGCCTATATAGCAACCTTAAGAAATATATGACACATCCGTTTGGACCAAACTTCCATATATCTGCATATTCAGGTGTTCAGAATAGAAACAAAACATACAATTTATGCTTAATCCAAGTCCAAAGGAACATCATGTGCTGCTATAACGAACAGGAAATCCAATCCAATTAGACGAGGAAATACTTTAAAGTCATATAAGTTATTATAAAAAAGCCCAAAGTAAGAGTAGCAGAATACTCCAAGCCAAGACGCAGGATGAACAGAACAAAGATAACTAAGGGGTCAGAGCGAACTCTCCGGAAACGTGCAAACTCCTGCGCCTTAATACTCCATATACCGCGTTCCTGATACAGAAAACACAAGAATTCCGACACTGACAAAGAATGAACACATTCAACAAAAAAAAAAAATCGAAAAATAAGGATTGTATGCCGTTTGGTATATGGATTTTTCTCGAATTCCCGGGAAAATGAAATTTTTAAAATTTTAAATTTTTAGATATTATCGTAAACTGAATGTAAAAATAATATTTTTGAAAATTGAGATTCCCGGACAAATAAAAATTTCTCCTCCCCTTAAGCTAATAAAACCTAAAGCCAAAAAAGTATGTCAATACTCTCCCCCACTGCTTCCACGGGAGAAGCACAAAAAACCTAAAACCAATTAATTGATTATCTTTCCTGTAACACCCAAGCAGAAATCACAGAAAAGTAAATCCACACAACTAGACGCACAGAATAGATAAAGAGAGAAACGAAAAGACAAATCTGAGAATCCAGAATCCAGGTAGAGATCACCAAATTATGCTTCTCGAAGCAATACGCTGCAGAAGAACATATTCACAATTTAATGCCTCGAGATTGAATCCACACAACTAGACGCACAGAATAGATAAAGAGAGAAACGAAAAGACAAATCTGAGAATCCAGAATCCAGGTAGAGATCACCAAATTATGCTTCTCGAAGCAATACGCTGCAGAAGAACATATTCACAATTTAATGCCTCGAGATTGAATCCATAATAAAAGTAATACAGAACAACTCATCAAGGAAATTAAATTAATGATCCTGAGCAGTATTAAGAATGGCAGAAATTTCTTCATGATTCAATGTTCAATTGGCAACTCGAAAGAGCAGAAAAATCAAATCCGCACTCCAACGTGCTGCAAACGAATAAACGCAAGAAGTTCAAAACCTGGGAATCCGTGATCAAATGGAGCATAATATTCATATAATTGACATTAACAAAGAGTTCGAGAACTATCAATTTCTTGAGATCTTCAATCCGGTAAAAGGATATTCAATCGGCGAATATTTCCTATTCAAGATTATCTTCCCTGTAACACCCAAGCAGAAATCACGAGAAGTAAATCCAGAAAATCAGACGCTCAGAACCGACAAAGAAAGATAGAAACGGAAAGAAAAATCCAAGAATTCAGAATCCAGATAGAGATCACCAAATTATGCACGAGAGCCGAAGCATTGAAGCACTGTGCTGCAGAAAAACAGGTTCACAATTCAATCCGTATACCTCGCGATCAATGCCAAAGAAATAAAAAATGCAGAACAACTAATCGAAGAAAAGAAATTAGTAATCCTGAGCTGTTAGCGGTTCAAAAACGGCTGTATCTAGAATGCCAAAAATTTCTTCAAAAGCCAGAACAGAAAACTCTAATCCATACTCCAACGTGCTGCAGTTCAAAACCTAGAACTCCATGATCAAATTAAGCATAATACTCAAATAATTGACAAAGAGAGTCCAAGAATTATCAGTTTCTTGAGATCTTGAATCAAACATCAGGTACAATTGATCAAACATCCACAATAGAATACTACATCGTCAAGTAACCAATTCCCAAAAAATAAAAAATAAAAAAAGTAAACTCAATATAAATTACAAACATAAGAATTACAAATAAGAAACATCCTCAGAGAAGGCTTGCATCCAAGATAAGACACACTTACCAAAATAAGCAGATGCTGCACGCTTCACTTGATAAAAAATTCTCAAAGTTCGGATTAAAAACCTGCACAAAGATGAGCATCAATTCTTATATGAACAGTAAAATCACCAGAAGCAACTTCTATCTAAAGTGCTTAACACACTCGAGTGTACCTTACCCCGTAAAATGCCAATCAATGGGCAACCAATGTAGCTGATCTCCCGGAAATATTACAATCCATTAACCTCTTATTGCTCTATGTAATAGATACCGAAAAAAAGCTTCTATTACTGCATCAACACATACCAAACTGGCAAGACATAACATTTTGGCTATGAAAATGACAGAGTAGCTGGAAAGGATGGCAAATCATCGAAAACTGCACACTAAAGATGAGTCTTCAACACCTCTTCACATATTGTATACTGAATAGAACAATACGCATTACTGAACAAAAATCAACAGGCTTTCCAGATGACAAACCATTTGAACAGCACTAGTTAGTAAGTGCACCAAACAATTAATCTAGACATTTGCATAAATCTGCTAGCAAAAAAATCCAGCATTGACTTTACAAACTAAATCACAACAACTTACTTCAAAACCTGAAACAACCCCACCTCACAATGACCTCCTTAAAATATTTAACACTTTGTGGAGTCCCAATTCCTCTTGAAACCGGCATACTGAAAAACAAAATATATAAAGAACAGAAACCAACAGACTGATACCATTTTGGACCCCTCAAATTAGTAAGCACACCTTCTCATATACAAAATGTGACAGGCATCCAGCTCTGATTGTATGAACCAAACAACAGCAACGAACTTCAAACCTGAAACAATAACCCATTCTCCCAAAGAAAAAGCCACAAAAAGATTAATTTCATTGTGACCATAAAAGCAAATGATTAACTTCACTTGAAAGCTACCAACAAGTTGCGAGACGAAATCACCGAAGAGCTTAAGGAAGCAGAAAAAACCTTAATACACCCCATCCACCACCAAAAACAACCATTAACACAATGAGCAACCCTAACAGAATCAATATAGGCCACATATGGCATGAAAAGAGGAACGTGAGAGTAGCAGAATTAACAACAAACACCACATCACAGCCCAACCATCACACAAGCCATCAGAACAAACCACAAAGGACCAATCAGCTCCACCATTGAGATGTTCAGAAATCACAAGGCAGCGAACTACACCTTAAAAGTTACATTGCTATTTTCTTGCTACAGAAGCCAAATACTGCTAGTGTCTTGACTTAACTGAAGAATCTCAATAGTGCTTGCAGTGCCTGAGCAAAAACTATCTTTTGTGTAGATGAATAACATATAACCCATTATCATGAAGAACGCCCCATTCCATCCTCTCTACACACTTTTGTTACAATAAAATTTCACAGTCCAACTTCCACACTAGTATCTTAACTTCGCTGAATACATGTCCCAATATAGCCTGCGGTGCTCTGAGCACCTACTACTCTGCAACACAAATTTTATCTCCAAAATCATGCAGCTACCAGTTTTTAGGAATAACCATAAAAATCTCAATCACAACTTTGATATGCATCAATAGATGAACATTTACGTATGATGGATGACTTTCAATTTCAAGTAACACCCCAATTAAGAGTCATCATCACTACCTTACTTGCAACTTCAAATAAGTTAGCTCTACTTTCCCGGGGGGAATGCCGTTCGTCTTCAATCTCTTTTCTGCTGTTCCTAGAAAGCATTACATTTCACCTTAAAGACAAACTCTAATTTAAAAATTACAACTCAAACACCAACACAAAGTTCACCACCAGGATCACGTGAGTAAAGAAAAGAACTATCCAGAAAACATTTTAAAAGGGATAGTAGGCAATATAAGAAGTTTTCATGTTTTTATAATAAAAGGTAGGAATTTTTTTAAACTTTGATGATGAAAGAATTGCTCATAGTCTTATTACAAAAAAAAATAATGTATCTAATAATTTAATGCAAAAACATTTCGATCATAGGAAAAAATAGGCAGGTATCTATAAAAAACATTTAGGGAATCATGCAATGAGAGTTTGAATCTTCACTTTTTTCAAGTAGGAAATTTTTCAAAATTTCAAAGACAATGGAATTTTATTGTAAAAGGAAATAATGGCATGATACCAAAAATATCTGACTAATTTCATGCGCAAAACAGCCACCAAATCAAAACAGTTCTACTGCTCTAATCCTGAACACAAAAAACCCGTGCAAGAAGACAACAATCGATATACACATACCACTAATATCACATTAAATAGTTAGAAACACTAAGCTGTACAAAACCAAGTTCACAATTCAATTAATATTCATGGCTACCAATTCCAGAAAACAAAAAACAAAACAAAACAAACTCATCTAAAAGTAAAATCAAATAATGCAGAGCTCTTTGCCGCTTTCATCTGATAAAAACCTCTGCACATATAATAGAAGAACATTCTTAAAACCCAGTCTTCAATTTGGCTATGCCTAAGAACATAAATACATTTCCAGACCACAAAATACTGCAAACTAATAAACACAAGAGGTTCAACACCTAGATCAACAGAAAATTCGTTAAAATCCTTTCATCAATTTGTGCACTTAAGAATTGGAATTAACAAACGCCAATACTTATTTTTAAAAGGATATAGAGGACCATATATATAAACCATAATCACGGTAAGAAATTATAAAAAAAATTATATATAAAAGAACAGTTTGATGATAAAAAATAATATCTTAAAAGTTTCATTAAAAAACAATACTGACTATAATATGATACAACCATGCGGAAGAT